GGCGAGCAGAAGCGGGAGGGCCTTGGATAGCAGAGAGAGGGATTTGGTTTAATCCTCTGTGCGATGGGGAGCGGCTGGAGGATTTGAACAGACCTGATCTAGCTCCGAGTGGCATGATTTGACTCTCGGTTTATGTTTACTTCAGCTGCTGCGTTCAGAACAGACACTAGCTGGGCAAGGCAGAAGCAGGGAGACCTGTTAGGAGACTCCTTCGATAGTCCAGACAAAAGATTATGATGGGTGGGCGAGAGTAGCTGCGTCCCCATCCCCAGGCTCAGCAGAAGAGACTCTTGAGTAGAGATACTTGCTGAAACTTGTTGAATGAATGAAGAATCTTACACAGGAAGTATGTAAACAGTGTTAAGAGCACATAAATGAGAAGATTTATTCTACTTTATGGAAGTGGAAGCAGGGACAAAAATGTCAAAGAAGACACGAGTCTAATCTTTGTATTCTTTTTTGTTTTTGAGACAAAGTCTCTGTCACCCAGGCTGGAGTGCAGTGGCACGATCTTGGCTCACTGCAACCTCCGCCTCCTGTGTTCAAGCAATTCTCCTGCCTCAGCCTTCTGAGTAGCTGGGATTACAGGTGTGTGCCACCACATCCAGCTAATTTTTGTACTTTTGGTAGAGACAGGGTTTCACCATGTTGGCCAGGCTGGTCTTGACCTCAAGTGATCCACCCACCTCGGCCTCCCAAAGTGCTGAGATTATAGGTGTGAGCCACAGCACCCGGCCAAGTCTCATCTTTATGATATGAATTCACCAAAGATGGGAGACACATGGCTTTTCATGGCCAAAGGATGGCGAAAGCAAATTCCACAGAGACGGCTCTTACTAGAACTTTCAGAGTACCTTCGCTTGCTTGGAAATGGGCTCTTCAGACGAGAAAGCCTCGGCCTCTTTAGAAAGCCATGCATGGGTTAAGAGAGATGCTGACACTTTTCAAAATATTGTGCAGGAAAATTTATTTTTCTATTAATGAGTGTTTAAGGGCTATTAAAACTGTGTTTGTCATCTGTAATCTGGCAGCTATAAAGAGATGCCCTTTTATTATTCTTTCATTGAGCTTTCTCACACCAAATTACTAATGAGGTAATTACCAACGTTGTAATTACTGTATAATTACTAGGGGAGTGGGAAGGAAAATGTGGAGCAAAATAGGCGGCCAGGATTTTGGTTGTTCTGTCAGAGATTTGATAATAATGATCTCTGTGAAAGTCGGTGAACCAAAAGTTTAAGGCTCATAAAATGGAAGCAATGGCACTCGGGTATTGTAAAGCAATCAACAGGAGGTGCAGGAGCAGCCTCTGGGTTCCCCTGGGGACTCTGCTCTTCTTGGAGGCAGCCTGCCTGGGACATAAAGGAGCCTCTGAAAACAAACAGAGCCGGCCTGAAGTCCTCCTTCACACCTCACTTCCTGTGAAATCTAGGGCCTGTGTGTCTGAGCCTCATTTTATTAAAGTGAAAAGGGAAAAATGTAACTCCTAGGTCTGCTGTGAGGGTTAAACACATCAACACCAAGACAAATGAGCGGCATCTGGTGCTTACAAAGTGTTCATCTCCTTAAGCCCCTTCCATCAGCACCAGGCCAGGCAGCGTCTCGCTGCCAAAAGCCCAATTAGGCAAGGCCAAAAGACTTAGCAATTTTTCAATAATTTTTACTCAAGTTTACTTGAAACTGCTAAAACACTTTCAATTAGTTTGTCGGTTCATATTTTTAAATTTTTGAGGTAAAAATAGAAACTCATGGGGATAAACATGGCGTTTGAAACCACACAGCTGCATCGGCAGCCAAGCTGTGTCTCAAGCCTTCTTGCAGTCTGAGGACTTGGTTCCTTGGCTTCATTCTTTTCTGAGCCATATCAGAACATCTGTAACGTTAGCCTCCCCATGCAGCTGGCCCAAGCCGGCCAGAGCTGCAGGAGGTAGGGCTTTGGGGAGGTATCTTCATTGTGTCTGTGTGTTTAACATCTAGCTCAGCGGATCCTACGCTCGTGTAAGGAGCTGCCAGGCATGAGATACTGAAGCACGGGAAAGGCTACGGTTGTTTTATAGTAAGTACACAAAACCTCTTTACCCAAGTGTAATATTTACCCTTTAGATCCTAGAATGCATCTGGCATTGTTTTCTCCATGCTGGTTCCCAACTTTAGTGCTCCTAAGAATCACCTAGGGTGGGAGTGAGGGGCTTGTCAGAATGCAGAGTCCTGGGCCCCACCCCCATAGTCCGCTTCTGGGTCCCAGGAAGCTGCACTTGAAATGAGCACTCCAGGTGATTCCGATGCAGGTCCACAGATGGTGCACATTGAGAGAAACTCTAAGGTATTTACTGAATCTGCCCAACAACCTTGGGATATAAACAGAATAAACATGGTTCAGAGGGTTCAAGTAATTTACTCAAGGTGGGCGACTTGCCAATGAACGATGGGAGCTGGGCTCCTTCCCCTCACCTGCCCTGCTGAAAAGCCATTTCTTCTATTAAGCCTGTGCCAGAACAAGTATACTTCAAATAATCTCTTCCTCTTAACCAAAGAGTGCTTCTCTTTTGTTACTTACAGCTTTTCATCTTATACAATGCTAGCATGAAGCACCTGCTTTGCCTCTGTATTAAGTGCATCTTTTTTATTCTGATATTTTGGCATCTGGGGCCTTAGAGATGCTCTGGAAACTGCCCCTCGCTCCCTAGCCCCCACATACACCCCAGGACTAGACAATTTTTAGAGATAGTAAACAACTTGTCTATGAGGGTGCCTTTTATATGCAAACCAACCGACCCAATAACCATTCCCCAACCATCTCCTTTAGCAGGCTCTCACACTTGGACCACTATTCCCCTGCCCTAATCACCCCAGGGCCAGGTACCAGACCACTGTGGACAGCCCCTGTGCCCCAGAACCCACCGAAACTATTCAAACTAGCCAATCCTAAGCCCATTTAGCCTGCTTACCCCAGCTTATCCATTCCTTCCTGCAAAAACTACAAAGAAGCCTTTCCTTCATATTACCCCTCAATACTTCTTGCCCCCTGAACCAACTTGGTGCTTCCCTGTGTGGCCTTGCATGGCGCAATATTCCTCCTGGGAGCGAACTATCTCTTTCAATGGCAGTTGTCTCCTGATCCACTGGCCTCATCATATATGAGTAATAATGAAGTTTGCATTTGAAAACAGCCTCCCATACTAAACTGGAAGCAATCTGAGGATAAAGCCCTTCTCCCTTTTCAACAGCTATTAATTAGATTAACTTGGTGTTTTGTTCACTGCAGATGTTCCAAAACTATTTGTTGAGTTAATTTAAAGAGTCAAGAAGCTTAAGCGAAGCC